CAGAATGAGATGAGAAGGCAAATATCGAAGCTAACAAAGTCCATGTTAGTTGCAAGACTATACACCGCAATTAGCTTGCTTAATAGGCCACCTGCACTATATTGTCTCTTGGTTAATGGAGAGGATCTAATCACTTAGATAGTTGATATTCATTCAGAAAGTGATATATCTATTGTAAAGAAGTCTTACATCCACACCACTGGGATGGCACCTGTTGTTTCGACAACAGCGCTTAAAGACATATTTGGTAGCGAGAAATATGTCACTCCCGTCCAACGAATTGGGATTCAACCACTGAAACCATGTGATCACTCAAAGGTCCTCGCTAATAGCCAGAACAGAATACTGTTTTGCAAGCACAGATCTTTCCTAGTTAGGAGCTCTGATTATCCGTGAGTTGAAAACTGAAGTCCCTTGAAACCAGCGATAACTGATAAGGTCTCATTACCCAAGTTCACTATAACATCAAGGTACAGAAAGTTTAGCAAGATAACATGCCTCTGGGGGACTTAATAAACAATTAAAATTTTAAATATATAAACCTAACTACAAGGACATTACGATGTTGATAGAATAAATGCTTGCTTTATAGAATTATATCTGGAAAACCTCAATGCCTGCCAAAATGTTATGCGAATTAACAAATTCGAATTGAATAGCTGCGATTAAGTTGAATGAAGAAATCGTTTACTCTCTTGGGAATTGTCTAACAGGGACCGGAATGAAGAGGAAGAACTGACAGTCGCAATTACTCTGATATTGACCGAATTTTGCCGATATTAAGAAACTTCATATTGGTACTACTTTCCTTTTAGGCTTAAAACATATTGGGTAAATCTGAAACATAACTATGATATTAACAAGGGACTTGGTTCTGTTTTAAAACTACTTCTACTTCACTGTGTACTCTTCAAGTAAACAATGTCTATCATACGATAAACCTATGCGACAAAGTCCCTTCCACATATGACAGTCCATGCTTAACGTCATATTTATAATTTTCCAGCAAATAATCATCAATAAAGCATTTTTATTTCATTTATAATGACACACCCTTTATTGCTTTTAATTTAAAAAAAAATCGAAAAATGCTCAAAACCATGACAATTTACTTTGTAAATCACAGGTGTTTATTTCCATTCAAAAAGAACTTATTTAAATAAATTAGTTAGTTCGTTTTTGGTGGTTGAACAATATTTAGGGATTATGTACATATTATGTTTAACACAAAATAAGATCAGACTTTTTCCTAACATTTTGAAATCATGTTAGAAATCCTACAATTCATGATAAACTTTTGAGGCCTGCAAATGTGTTTAATTAAACATTCGATAGATCGAAGATAACACACTTTCAACTTATGTGATACGGAAGTGAATAGTATTCCTTAAATAAACAAATTATCAAAGTGAAATGCTTTTTATATAGAAATTCCTAATATCACAATAAGTTAGAAGCATTACAAATGGATGTTTTAAGATTTTTTTAACAGATTTCGAGTTTGAAAAATAAGAAATATTTATATTTTCATTAAAATCACTTTATAATATTTAAGCTTAAGTCAAAATCAATATTCTTTTAATTATTAACTACCCACTATAGACAATTGTGTGTCACTAGTTGAAATATTCTCCACCTACCACTGCACCACCACCACATTTAATTGCGTTATGCTTATGTTCTGTACAGTCATATTATGTTTTGTAATCATACAATTTTTAACTCCTTTAGAAAAAAAATTCTCTTTCATCAATGTGTATATTCATAGATTCTAACCGAAACATTCAGCAACATCGATAACAACAGCACAGCAACATTTTCGGCTTCGTTGCTCACCTGTCTCGTCACCGTTGTTGGTTGCACTTTATTATACCCACCATCATATTGATTTTGTCATTCCGTTTGTAACACATCGAAATATTGGTCATAGACCCACAAAAGTATATATATTCTGGGTCCTCATTAAATTCTAAGTCGATCTAGCCATGTCTGTCCGTCCGTCTGTCTGTCTGTTGAAAGCACGATAGAGTCCCAATGGAAAGAGCTAGAGGGTTGAAATTTCACATAAATATTTCTTACAGGTAAGGTTTGTTTGGTATTGAAAATGGGCAATATCGGTCCACATTTTCTGATAGCCCCCATACAAGTGGCCCCTTGAAAAGCAGCTTTAACAGCCATAACTTGCCATATAAAAATACGAATATAGCGATAAAATTCGACATAAGTAAGTTTCTTATTATCCAAAATCATTATGCAAAATTTTATGAGGATAGGTCCATAATTGACCCTACCCCCCATATAAGGTCCCCTTCAGAAAATGATTTTAACGCTCATTACTGGCTTAAAAATACTAGTATATAGATGAAATTCGACCTAAGTAAGTTTCATACGAGTCAAAATCTATCATTTTCTAAAGGTCCCCTTTAGAAAATGACTGCAACGCTCATTAATGGCTTAAAAATACGAGTGTAGCGATCAAATTCGACACAAATAAATTTAATACGAACCAAATTCTGTCTACCAAATTATATTAGGATCGATCCATAATTGACCCTACCCCCTATATAAGGTCCCCTTCAGAAAATTACTTTAACGCTTATAACTGGCCTAAAAATACGAGTATATAGATGAAATTCGACATAAGTAAGTTTCATTCTAGTCAAACGAGGTTTGATGGTGGGCATATAAGATTCGGCATAGCCGAATATAACACTCTTACTTGTTTTTCAATTCAGTTTTTTATCCAAAACACAAATATGTAAGTTTATTTGTGTTTTTGTTTTTTATTAACCATTCCTCTCAACTGTTTTTTTTATTTATTTCGAATAAAAAATATTTTTTCTTTAGATTTGACTATATAAAATAATAAATAGATGAGTGAGTGCATATGTTTTCTATAAAATGTGACCAATAAGCTTCTGTGGCCGGTATTGCCACAAACAATATTTTAACAAAATTAGATATGATCACAGTTGGATTGTTCTTTTTTTAATTAAAGTAAGAAGCCGACAGCATAGTAGATAATGTCATTTGCCTATCTGGAGCAACAAACTTAATGCCTATTTGTCCCTAATATATGCCAAGTGTGTAGTCAGAGTCTCCATGATATCCACTACATATTCAACTTTCCAGCACACTCTACTACAGATTGCCCAATGAATTAGTGGACTTATCCAGTAGAAGTAGGCCTATTTATTGACTTCTGGATTAAAATTGTATACAACAATTGTGAGTCTGTTAGAATGGGGGTTGTAAGACACTAGCAAAGAAGCGCACAACAGATCTGACGGAGGCCTAATGCAATAAAAAGTAGTTAATAATTTCTCTAAGTTAAATCAGCTGTTTATCTAGCAAATTATCTTTTAGTAACCCACTTCATCTAATATAATACCTCCAAAAGCAATTAGTTGGTCTTACTATTCAAAGCACATACACACAAAATAAGAATAAGCATTCATTGTAATAAATACAATTTAGCTGTTAATGCAACTGTTTGTTTAAATTGTTTTATTATTTTATTTAGACAAAACAAAAAAGAGGTATGAAACTTAGTAGAGTCAAGTCGACTAAAGAGTATAATTAAGTTGAGTATAGTGGAGTATTTTAATAATAAATGGAATCGAATGGAATGGTTAATAAAAATGAGCAGAAATACTCAAGTACTGAACAAACAGTACAATATATAAGATACTTACTGCTCTTATTATTGTTCTGGTTGGTTGATTGCATTTGGTGGTAACAAAAGTGCGATCACCCGATGTCTTTTTTTATTTTATATACATATGTATATAATTTTTATTTATTTATTTGTTATTACTTTTTGTACAAGTGGAATAAATTTACAGGGTTGTATTTGTTTATATGTAATAATAACAAGAAAAGTGTAATGTTTTGTTTATATTTAAAAATGTTAATGTATAAGTAATATTTTTTTAATTATAGTCAGTTATTAATATTCTGAACATTTATTCTAGAGAAATGAAATTTAAACGTTCAAATAAATAATCCATGACGTACAAGAGTATGTACGTACATATGTATGTATATATGAGAAAAGATTTACAATTCTTATTAAATAAATACCCATATAAATGCCGCATTTAGTATTATTGATATCTGTTATATTTATTAAAAAATAAATAAATATATTCAATGTCCGTATTCGCTCAAGATTTGTTACAAATATGACCACAAAAACAGCACATAACGAATGTATCATTTATTTTTAACGTTTTCTAAATGAATAAATGAATATATCTTTTATTTTGCATATCAGCAAAAGTAATAATACAATATCTGAGTTAATCTAACGATCCATAGACTGAATGATTATTACTACATTCGGCACAAAATTCAATGGTCGATCAATCGTCAAGTAGATAGTCGTTATATTTTTAAACGTCTTTATCAACTATCAATTACATTTTAAACATATTTTTATAGAAACAAATAAGAGTGTATAGTCGGGCATGGCCCTATACCCCTCAGTATATTAAAAATGTGGATTATTTTTCTAATAATAAAGCATTTTACCTTAACTCCGAAATATTTTAACAATTTGTTAACAAAAAAGTGACTTTCTGAATGAATAATCACTGGGGGCAAAGGTAAATAGAGTTCTATCCGTATAAATTTTGTTAAAACGATTTACGATGAAATTAAAGTTATTTATACAGATTTTCATCGTGATACTAGTGTTTAAAAGTGAATTTTCATTTTCAAGTCAATTTTTGAAGGCGACTTTGTATAGGGGCTAGGGTCAAATGAGTCCCGAACGGCAGTATCATTTAAACTTATATAAAACAATGATTTGCCGATTTTTGTATTTTAAAATAGTTTTTTTTTTTCTTCTAGAAGCAATATTTTGAACAATTAGACAAAAACAAATGATATACATATATCACAGATTTCGGAAAATTTGGCAGACAACTACAACAGTTATCATGTCTTACTATTATTATTGTTTTTTATCGATAAAACTAAACTAACTGTTTACTAACCTTTTTCATATTGGCAACAGCTTCTTCAGCTGCTTTCACGGCCACTTGTGCAACACCCACACCATCGGCCGAAGTGGCATGTGTTGATGGCGATGTGGCATAAATGAACAAGGGCAAAGAGGTAAAGTTGCGCAATGTATCTCCAGAGTCCTTAAAACGGCGACATAATAATAAATTCTTAGCTTGCGTTTCCGGTTGCTGTTGAGTTTGAATATGTTGGCGATAGTCTTGTAAAGCCAAACCTGAGTTAGCGGCACATATTGTTGTGTTGTTGTCTATATTGTTGTGATCTTTAATAATGCCACACCCATGAGGTTGCTCCTCAGCGTCTGCCGCATCATTGACGTCGCCACTAACACCTCCAACATTATCTTCAGTAGTTTTATAATCCATAGATTGAGTGTTGGTTGTAGAACCGTTAGTGTTACTTGCAGACGTTGTTATTGTTGTTGTAGTATTGCTGTTGTTATTAAATTGTTCGTGTGGAGAAGTCGAGGCTAAAATTGTTGGCGATGGTGTGTGATGCGTGTTAAAACAATGACTATTGATGGTACTGCTGCTGCTTCCACATATGGTAACGCTGGAGGTGTCATCGCCACCATCTCCGCCACCACCCCCGCCCTCATCCTCATAATGTATCAATGTTGCCATAGATTTTTAGCAACAAATAATTAATGATAGTTTGTTTTTAAGCTATTTTTAAGAAAATGTCACTTAATTATCCACACAAATTTGAAAATCAAATGAAATTCTTTCGGAAGAATGTAAAGGATTCACTATAAATTTATTATATTTGGAACAAAGACTGCAATTATTGGTCTTTGTTCTGGCTGAAACAAATTCCTACTGCTTTTGTTTAAATGGACGGTTGGTAATTGTTCTGGTTGTTGTTGTCTTTTTGCAAGCATGTTGTTACAACAAACATGCGTCATAAAATCTTAAACATTTGTTTTATTTTTTACACTTTTTAAAAGCGATTGTTTTATATTTCTTTTAGATACGTATATGTAGACTCTTTATTGTCTGCTAACAAAATTCATCAATTCACTTTTTTCACTCACATTTATTGTTGTTATAGCGTGAATGTTATAACTTTTTATTATGTATTCTTTTTTATGCTGAATATTCTTGTCCAGACAGGGAGTAACCCACAAAAGTAACTTTGATGTGCGTCTAAAAGAAAAGCTCAAAAGTGAAGAAGGAGTAGGAGGAGACACACCAAAACTTACAAAATTAAAATTGCAAAAGATGGAAAAGAAGCGAACACAAGCGACAAGCAACCACCACACAAAAAAAGAATTGTCACGATAGCAAAAATTGCACTTTTTGCAGTCTTAACCAAGATTTTATAAACATTTAAGATATTTATCTAATGTTTTTTTATATTTCAGCTAATTATTCTTATTTTTGTTTATTTTTTCCTATATTTTTTTAGAAAATTGTATCTGTTTTTACCGATTTTTTTCTTGACTTTATGTACGACCTTAGAGGAGACACTTTCTTTTTTATTTTTAACTTCGTTTATATATATATTTTGACTGACTTCCTTTTTAGATTTGTTATTGGTAAATTTATTTTGTTTAATACTTTTTAAGTGCTAATAAAATTAACGATTTATTTTGTTGATTTTTAATAAATTTTCTTATTTTTTGCCACCGCTGTTGTTTTTTTGCTTCGTGCGACGGGTGCGATTCAAAGACCTGCGCCGACAAATATTAACGACGGCGGCGACTGACACTAAATATGTCGTCGGCGGCTTAAAATCGACTGTAAGCCGGCTAAGTTTTCAACTACGTTTAGTTTTTAAATTTTCAACGATTTCAAATAAAAACGGAATCCGAGAGATCAGAAAGTGGGATTTTGGAAGCAAATATATTGTTTATAACAACAAAACAGAGCAAGCGCAAAAGTTGTGTGAAAAATTATGCAGGGATGGATAAAAAATTCTTAAAAATTAAATACAAATCCTTTCTCCAAGTTTTACGAGGATCGGCCTATATTTCACCCTATCCTCCATATAAAACATCTTGTAGAAAATCAGTTTTTAAAAAATTTTGCATTAAGAAAATTATCAATAACGTAAAAACAAAGATATTTTATTTATCTACTAGCTATACCCAGTGTGCTTTGCTACCCTAAAATCAATATAAATAAGAATCCCACTTAACGATTTTGATTATTCTAACTACAATGGCTTTCCAGATATACAATTTGTTATGGGAGATTCCACGCAAATTATTGCAATTTCGCCAATTTTTCCGAACTTTAATTAAGATTTTAATTTAGTTAGTTAGTTTGAAAGGAGGATGTACATTAGAGTGGGTCGGTCTCTATGGACAAAAAAAAGGTGTGTCAGTCACCCCCTAGGATTAAAGATATCTTAATAACATTTCCAAAAATATAAAAATTATTTTTTTGCCACGCCTAGAAATACCGCCCTTTTTGTTTTTTATATATTACTCCGCCATTTTAAGTCCGATCGTAACATATCATATATCAATATTTATGGCTTGGCTGTAGCAACATTTCACCCTTAGACGATTTTTAAATTAGACGTAACATTCTATGCTCGACTTCTGATATCTCGGATCCTTCTCCAAAATCTGAAATTGTGGCTATACAATAATAAAGAGCTTTTAATTATATGAAATATAGGCTGAAATGCTCACTTTTATGCATAAACAGCTATTTTATTGATATTTAAAAATGTTCATATATTCATTATCAACCGTTCTCACAACAAATAATTAATTTGCCAGAAAAAATCGTCGAAAACCTTTTTTTTTTTTTGAAAATGAATTATAAAACTGTTATTTTTTCAGCTACAAACCCTTCCAGATCCTACTTCCTATCAAAAACGAGGAAAGTTTATTATATCCTACAGCACTATAGTAGTTTAGCTTTGTCCATCCGACTTGTAATCAAACTACAAGTCGAAATTTTCTAGATAATTCGATGCAAATAGGCTGATATATTTCATTTTACCCAAGGACGAAGTTGTTTGAATATGGATTATATCGAAAATGTTTTCAAGGTCGTTAATGCCCTCTTAAGCAGTACAATTAGGATGAAATTCTGCATATCTATCTCTTATAAGAACATAAAACCCTCCACCAAATGTTTATAGGATCGGTCCATAATTGATCCTAGCTCCCATATATAGTCTCTTTCAGAAAATCAGTTTTTCATCAATAAGTTGCTCAAATAGTATATCGTCACCTAAAACGCATAGGGCCGTTTGCTAACATTTTTAAAATTTTACAGGAGAAGCAAAAAACTATTGAAATTGAAAAATTTGTTTCTATGAACGCGATTTATTTCTAGTGAATAAACAAATTGTTTAATAGTGAAACCTATTAGTTATTAAGATAGTTGACAATGGCGTACATAAAAAAAGGATAAAGTAGACTTTTTACCTTTAATATTTAAATGTTTTTGTAGATAGGGCCTTTTGTTTTTTGTCAATGAAATCGTTAATTTTGGTTGGAGGAGTCCAATTTTTTGGGTGGACATATGTTTTGATGCAATACATTATAATCAACAATAAAATCGATTTTTATTTTTTGGTTAGTTAGGGCCATTTGCGTTTCAGGTGACAATATGGAAATTAAGACAAAATTCAATATAAATGCTATATTAAAACATAAATCATATTTTAGTTATGCTCATATCTGGTATCATATGGTCGGCCATTCCCGATTATTCGTTTTTTATTAGTTTTTATTATTTAAAGAACTTCTTTAGAAATATGTAACTATTTAAAAGAATCATAAAATAAATTTATCACATTTTATAAAAATAAACATTTTTAAAAATTGTTAAAAAAAGAAACATGCGAGTAGTTGTATGGAAAAAAACATAAAAAACATTTTTGTAAAACTTAGCATAACACTTTAATTTTTCATCGATTTTTACAAAATAAAATGTTTAATTTTTATGTACCTACGTGATTTTGTTATTAATTAATAGAATTAAATGCTGAATAAAATGATCTTTCTTTTATTAAGATAGGGATAGGATGCAATTTTTGTATTGTAAATTAATTTGAAAAAAATTGTTTTCGACCATATCCCTAGCAAATTAATTGTTTGTAGTTTGAACTATACAGGTATTTTTAAATACCTGTAAAATAGCTCTTTATGCATAAAAGTGAGCATTTTAAAAGCCTATATTTTATGTAATTAAATGTACTTTATTCCAGTATAGCCACAATTTTATATTTTGGGGAAGAATCCGAGATATCAGAAGTCGCGCAAAGAATATGACGTCGAAATAAAAAATTGTCTAAGAGTGAAATATAGCTAAAATCAAGCCATAAATATTGATATATGATATGTTACGATCGGACTAAAAATGGCGGCGTAGTGTATAAAAAACAAAAAGGGCGGTATTTCTAGGCGTGGCAAAAAAATATTTTTTATATTTTTGGAAATGTTATTAACATATCTTTAATCGTAGGGGGTGACTGACTCAACTTTTTTTTCGACCCACCCTAATGTACATACATATATACATCAAATCCGAAGAAATACTATCGGGCCTGTTGTGCGCTCCTTAACCAGTGCCTCAGGTGGGAATCGAGCCCACCACCTCCGGTCTACCAGACTAGAACACTAACCACTAACCCACCGGAGGCCACAAGATTTTAATTTAATCTATGAAAAAATTTGAATAATCTAATAGTTTCCCAGATATACGAAATTTTGTATTTAATTCATATGGGAAGTGCCAAGCCCCCCATTGAAAGTCCGCCCGTTATTCTCTAAATGTTCACATGAATGTCAAAGTTCTTCAGTAAAATTTGAAGATTCTAGCTCTAATAGTTTCTCAGATATACGAATTTGTCTATTTAATTCATATGGGAACTCCAAGCCCCCAGATGAAAGTCCGCCCTTTTTTCTACAAAATGTTCACATGAATATTAAAGTTCTTCGTACAAAATTTGAAGAATTTTGTTCTATTAGTTTCCTAGATAAACGTTCCGCCCCCCTCATTGGTAGTCCGCCAAATTATTAACCAAAATGTTTACATGGATGTTAAAGTTCTTCGTGCAAAATTTTAAAATTCTAACTGTAATAGTTTCCAAGATAAACGAATGAAATAGGTCCAGTTAGCTATAATGAGAACCTGAACAACATCAATTAAAGGGATCACAAAGAGATTGAAAAATATTCCAAAAGTTTTATTATAGTGTATGAAAACTCGCAACTCTAAAGGCAGACTATTCCTATTTAGCGGTAATTTCATTATGATTAAAATAATTAAGAAGTAAGAGTTATATTCGGCAAATCGTATGTCGTAAAAAAGCAAATTTCGGAAGTGGTCATATACATATACACTATCGGACAAAATAAAGTGCAAAAGTACTCATGCTATATTCTTCCAGCGAAAAATCGGTTAAATGATTATTGAATATGAAATTTTTTTTTTCAAAATCATTTAGTTTATATACAATGCTACAAAAATAACAATAAAACTAAATTATTGTACCAACAATTTTTCTAAATATCATCTAAAATTAAAGTAAATTCACTTTTTTGTCGGACTAAATAAAGTGTAAATTTTATATATCATTATTTAAATTTCTAGTATATCAAAATTTTGTATCTATTTTAGTTCTGATTTTAATATTTGGATCTACTTAAGCCATTTTGGTAATTTTGTTATCCATTATTATTCGCAATCGCCTTCCCTTCCCCTTGCTTTCCGCATATGATAATTTTCAAAAGAAATCCGTTTTTGATCACTATTTCATCGGAATTTTTGATCAATTGTGGTCCAAAATTAATCTATTGGATTTAGGGCGGTGCTCTGAGCAACTTATTTCAATTTTTCAGTGATTTTTCCTACAGTAATGTTATTTTTTAACTTTATCAAGTGCTTAAGCTTATTATCTTGCCGAAATATAAAGTTGCCCAATTCCATTTCGAAGGCACTGATCTTAAGATGACTGTAATATGCTCACATAGTGTTCATTTGAGCTTTTTGAATAAATTTCATCTAGGTTCCCCACAGCTAACGTTGGACACATACGAAGAGTCAACTGACCCAAGCCTTCAATCTTTCACCAACATATTTAATAGCATGAACATTTTTTTTCGATTTTAGTATTTAATTTCGTATTTTTTAGCTCAAATTTACGTAGTTGGTCAGATGAGTCCCAATTTCTACCGAAAATTTTAAAATGTCGACAATGAGTGAGAATTAAGCCCTTCAATATAAAAAAGTTTAAAAACAATACCCTAGGTTTTAAACATTATGGTGGAGGCCTATCGGTATTGTTACATTATTCAATTTTAAGAGCGGGAATCTTAGTGAAAATGGAGTAAGCAATAACAAATGAGCAATTCACGAGCGTATTTAATAAAAATTTTGAAATAAATGCCGTAAAATGGGTTAGGGAGACTTAATGCCTCAACCGATTCATGACTTCAAACACACGACAAAGGTTAAAAATATAGCAGAAACAGAAAAAAACACTGAAAAATTGGAATGACCTGCTCAGAGCATCGCCCTAAATCTAATAGATTAATTTTTGACCACAATTGATCAAAAAATTCCGCTGAAATAGCGAATAAAAACGGATTTCTTTTGAAAATAATAGTATGGGGGAAAGTAAGAGAAAGTGAAGGCAACTGCAAATAATAATGGTAAAAAATAAAATGCAATATCAAAAAGTCCCCCTTTTAGAGAACTCTATATGTTTGAT